TACAGACCCACACAACCCTAAAGATGCATGCACACAGACGCACACACCCAAACACAGAGAGACACACACAACCCCAAACCAGAGACAGACACACAACCCCAAACAGGCACACAGAAAACACCGTGTTCTCTCTCAGACATGCACAACCTCAAACACGTACGTGCATGCACCGACAACCCCTAACTACACAGCCAGAGCCATACACATAGATGCACCTATGCAGACCTCAGAGCACACAGCTACGCCCACACACAGCTACAAACATCCCTACACATGTGGGAAACACACAAACACTCCCCTCCCCTCATTCCAAGCATGCATGAAGAAACCAGCTGTCACAAACCACGCCCCCACCCACAGGCACTCCACCACACTGTCTGTGCACAAATGTCACCCAGTGGTCTGCATCCTGGCTCTGGGAGGGGTGCAGGGTGTAGCGGGGGGTTTCTCTCCCCAGCTGAGGAAGGGGAGTGGTGTCTAATGAGCATGGAGGCTGGGAGTCCAGCACCCTACAAACACTCGGTTAGGAGAAAAACACCCAGTAAATCAGCAGTTTGAGTCTCTGCCATTTGCGGCAGCTGGGCGCTTTACCGCTTCCCCAGTAAAAACGTCCCCGGCTCAGTCTGGGCTGCCAGCCACAGTCTGTGTCTGAGATGGGGAAGCAGGCCTAAGGGAACCAGCCAAACCTCAAAGGGCTGCAGACCCAGGGCCCTTCCGAGTCACGCTCTGACAGTGGCTGGGTTCTAATCCCACCCCCTCAGGTCAATCTGGAGTCACCCCCAAATGCACTTGGGGCAGGGCCAGGTTCTGATCTCAGCTAGACCATCTCGTGCAATTATCCCCCGGCCTGCGGCGGAGGATTAGTTAACATTCTGTCCACACCATTCCTGTTTCCACTGACATGATCCTTCTCACTCCTGTTACCCTTTTTCATCCTGCTTTCTTAAAATACCAGCAAAGAGCTTTTCTCTTCTCAGCTCTTTGCTCCTCCCAGCATAAACATCCCTAAGATGGGCACAGACCCTTCGAAAGGTTTGGCTCGAGACAGGAGGAGCTCCCAACGTTTGCCACCCCTCTCTGTCTTTTATCGTGCACTCAACAGGTTCCGATGTTTCCTTTGGAAGTTGATCTCCATCCCCCTGCAATGGTGGCCGTGCAAAAGTCCTGACCACATGCTGGGCACTTCCACTTCCCATGTGATGCTGGGTGCCCTGGCCTTCCACTGGCTGCAGCTTGTTATAAATTAATGGAGATTGCTTATCACCTAGAGCTGGAAGGGACCTTGACAGGCCATCAAGTCCAGTCCTTTGCCTTAGGACCAAATACCATCCCTGACAAATTTTTGCCCCAATTCCCTAAATGGCCTCCACAAGGATTGAACTCATAACCTTGGGGTTTGCAAGCTAATGCTCAAACCACTGAGCTATCCCTCCCCCAATTGATCCATGTACTAGATGGATCAATTCTATGATGTCCAGGCCACGTTCGGTTGGCAATTAACATAAAGCAGCCCAAGCATGTTCTAAAGTAGTATGCCCCCGTGCTGCTGCATCAACTCCACTTCACTTCCGCCAGGGATCAGGCTGCATCATGTGCTCCGGGCACCAATTTCTTCAACGCCCACTGAAAGCAGTGTTCTCCAGCCAGTGACTTTTCTGGATCTAGGCTGATTTACACCACTGCTGGGTGACCTTGTCCCGTGGGTCGTACTCCACAATTTGCTGAGGGTTCAACTTGCTTCCACTGACTTACAGAGGAAACCTCCTGTGGGTTTCAGCGGGAGCAGGACTGGTCTCGGTGGAGAAATGGGCTGTACAGAGGCTGCATTATCTAATAGTGATAGAAATGTAGCCGTGTTAGTCTGGGGTAGCTGAAGCAAAATGCAGGACAATGTAGCACTTTAAAGACTAACAAGATGGTTTATTAGATGATGAGCTTTCGTGGGCCAGACCCACTTCCTCAGATCAAATAGTGGAAGAAAGTAGTCACAACCATATATACCAAAGGATACAATTAAAAAAAAAAGTGAACACATATGAAAAGGACAAATCACATTGCAGAACAGAAGGAGGAGGCGGGGGGGTGGGAAGGGGGAGGAAGGAAGGTAAGTGTCTGTGAGTTAATGATATTAGAGGTGGGGAAAGTTAGATGTCTGTGAGCTAATGGTATTAGAGGTGATAATTGGGACCTGGAGCTCCCCGAGACATCTCCAGGGGCACCGAGAGGTTGACAAACTGGAAACATTGATAGGTAGAACACATACAATCCGTGGACCGCTGGGGCTCTGCATACATTTTTACGCATGTAAAGGGCTCTGGAGCCCAAAAAGTTTGAGAACCGCTGATCTAAGACACTGGCTCACAAACAGGGGGTCCCAACCCACCTGGGGGTCGCAGGGAGGTTCTAGATGGTCACCTTAGTGAAAAGGCAGGAAGGCTCTGGTCCACTGGCCAGGGAACTGACTTGGGATAGGAGCACAGAATCGATTCCCTGCTCATGTCTTGGTTTCTCTCTGTGGGTCTGTGCACAGTGGGGCCCTGGACTTCAGCTGGGCCAGGGACCGTCTCCACTGTATCTGGACAGCAGCTGGCACAATGGAGCCCTGATCTCAGGGGCTGTCTCATGTTGTGGGACTGGGCAACACCGGCATCAACCTTCCCTCCTCTCCTCCACGGTCTGGAAAGGACGTAGCAATGCAGGGGCTCGGTCACAGGCCTGCAGACATTCACAAGAACAGTGGTTCGAAGCCTCCGTCAGACCCCTGAGCACCAGTGCACAGGAGCGGGCCCCCCCAGGGTCAGTGATCACAGCCCTCATGCCAAGGAAATGGTGCCCTGCCTTGGGGCAGGAAGGGGGGTGGTTACCCCCCCAAAAAA